CAGCAGCGGTCCAAGTGGCACCAGGGGCAGCCCAACATCGTGGGAGCGCTCGTCGTCGTCGCAGAAGACAACCTTCCGCCCCAGCAGTGGAGAATAGGCCGAGTGGTAGCGGTGCACGTAGACGCCGATTACAAGGTTAGCGTGGCGGACGTCAGGTCGCAGGAGGAAGAGTATCGGCGAGTCCACCGGCCCTGTTTCCCGTTCTGGGCTGAAGCACGTCGTCCCTTCAGAGGGGGCGGTGTTTGCGCACTTGGCGCTTGATATTTGAAGTCACTAGTTGTAGGGCGGGAGCGAAAGCCAATAAAGCTTTCGTCCATTCGCTCTTGCGAATTCACCCCGTCTCTCGCCACCGTAGTATAAGTAAGGTTCCAAGAGAAATTATTGGAATATTAAATTTAGTGATCAATCGAACTTCATCGTAATCACTCCCCTTTCGTCGTCGTATTTTTGCACAAGTTTTTACAAATTTTTTTTTTGTTTACATATGCAATTTATTTATTGAATCTTCTCTGAATTGAGAATAACAATAATTATATAAAATCTTAAATTAAAACTATATCTGACAGTCAAGATGACTGACACGAGATGTAAGGGCTCTAATAACTATTGCTGAGCTGGAAGATCATTTCCTTGTAATCGGGTCCGGTTGGAAACCCTGGCTAGGCCCCTGGCGAGCTGGTTTGGATGAGAAGTTAGTTTGGTGTGGTAGGATGCTTTTTGTTTTGATATTTTATCTTTTACGGGTAGAATGCCAAGATCTCTGTGGATGTTGTCTTTCCGAACATACCAAGGTGCCCCAGTGATAGTTCTCAGGATTTTTGATTGTGCTCGCTTGATAATATCGATCTTACTGCGGCTCGCGTTTCCCCACAATTGGGAGCCGTAAGTCCAGACTGGCTTAAGCGTTGAATTGTAGAGCAGGACCTTGAAGTCTGGGCAGAGGGGGGAGCGACCGTTTATGAGCCTATGAAGGCTATTGAATTTTAGTTTTAGATGAATTTCCTTAGCTTCGATAAGTCTCCGCCATGTAAGTCTCCAGTCAAGGTGGACGCCAAGGTACGTTACATCGTCAGCTTGTGGAACTGGCGTGTTATTCAGAGTTAGCGGGGGACACGTTTGTCTGTTAAGAGTAAACGTTATGTGTTTAACTTTTGCGCATTTATTTTTATACGCCAGTCTTATAACCACCTCACCACTACCACAAGATGATCAGCTAGTAGTGCTGTTACCTGAATTGGGCATTGGACTTAAGATCGCGTTATCGTCTGCAAATGTAGAAGCAGTTAGCCGCTCGTTCGTGGGAATATCTGCGGTGTAGAGGAGAAATAGAGTTGGACCAAGGGCGCTACCTTATGGAACTCCAGCCTCTATCGTGTAACCGTCGGATATTGTAATGTTGCATCTCACGGCTAAGGCTCTGTTGTAAAGGTATGATTCAAGTATCCTGTGAGTGTTTTCCGGTAGTAACATTCTGATTTTATGCATAAGGCCATCGAGCCAGATTCGGTCGAAAGACTGCGCAACGTCAAGGAATACCGCACTGCAGTATTCCCGAAGCTCGAATGCAGTTCGGTTTTTTGTTGTTAATCTATTGACATGCTCTATTGTTCCATGGCCTTCTCGAAAGCCAAATTGATGTGCCGGAATAACGTTTTGCTCTTCAGATATGGGATTATGCGCGTCGAAAGGCATTTTTCGAGCAGTTTTGAAAGACACGAGAGTAAGCTTATCGGTCTGTATGAAGCTGGTATTGTGTGATCTTCTCCTGGCTTTGGGATCATTATGATTATCGAATTTTTTCATTTTTTTGGGAAGTAGCCAAGTCGTGTAATCCCGTTAAGGAGTTTACAAAATACATCAACTGCACAGTTTGGGAGATCAATTAGCATCTTAGGAGTTATTAGATCACCTCCTGGGGCCATTATTGTTTTTAATTGCTCGCTGATGACTTTTGCAACTTCGTTTGTTTGAAACAGAACTGGCGCCGTCTCAGTTCCAATTTGAATTGACGGCGACGGTAGTGTGAATGAATTATTTGCAGGGTTTGACTGAAAAACATTTCGAAGGTGTAAAGCAAATGTACAAGCTCTGTCTTTGTCGCTTCTGGCCCAGCTGCATGAAGAGTCTCTTATGGGAGTTACTATTTCGGCCGGCGCACTTAGATTTGGGTGGGCCCTCCACAAGGGATGCTAAGTGCTGGTGGGTGAAAGTTTCTCAATGTACTGGCATTGTGCTTTTTCTTCTTCATGCCTTAGAGCCCTGGTAAGTCTGCGACCAGCTTCCGTAAGGCTATGTTTTGAGGATGGCGATCTGCTGGTTTGCCAAGCACGCCTCAAACGTCTTTTCTCCAAAACAAGTTGTTCGATTTCAAGGTTAGTCTTGTGCTGGTGTGTGTGCCCCCTCCCTTGCGGGGAAGAGATTTTGGCTGCTGCGACGAGTACAGACTCCAGTGCATCGACATGTCCTCCTTGATGTTGAGCTGTGGAGTTAGTTTAACGTGAGAACTAACGTACTTTTTGAAATTCAGCCAGTTGGTTCGATGCGTCGTCATCCTGCAAGGGTGCTTGATTAGTTCCAGGTTTTGAAGAAAAGTTATTAGCACTGGTGTGTGGTCCGATGATAGATCCAAGAGCGATTTTGCAGATATTGGATTGCGATTTGTCACAGCAAAATCAATTAAATCAGGTAGTTCCCTAGGATCTGTAGGCCAGTATGTAGGACTGTCTGGTGAAACGTAGTCCAGTTTGTTGCATGTTTTGATGAGTGCATATATAGTTGCCTTCCTTCGGGGGTCACAAGGCGGGATCCCCAGTGTGTGTGCTTGGCGTTGTAATTACCTGCTGCTATAAAGCGCTCTCCAAGTGAATTGTAGAAGTCCATGAATTGGTCTTAGGAGACTGTAAAGAGGGGTGGGCAGTAGAAAGCGGCAATGGCAAGGTTGCAGTTGCCCAATTGTAAATTTATCGATGTAGCTTGCAGATAATTTTTTGCAAACCGTTGGTGAAAGTGGTATTTGATGCGGTCTCTTATTAGGATGCCGGTTCCGCCATGTGCTTTAACATCTGGATGATCGGTGCCGTAGAACGTGTATCCCCGTATTTGAAAGTTATATTTGCTGGTGAGATGCGTTTCTGCCAGCAACATAACGTCGATGTGGTTTTCGTTCAGAAATTGAGTTATTTCAGGTATATGCCGTGAAACACCGTTGGCGTTCCGCAGAGTTATTCGAAGGCTAGGCATAATTTATATGGACTTCTGAGCTGCAAGCATTTGTAACAAGATATTTTGGTTTTGCATTAGAGTTTGCATGGTGGTTTTCATGAAGGACATAAATTCCATCATATTTTGTTGCAAGTTATCATCATAGTTTCCATGTTACTTTGTGGCTGCCCCATGGCCTGCTGTATGTTATCGATTTTCGACTCTATTTGAGCTGTGCCTGATCTTAGAGCACTTGCGTAGGAAATGCCGTTGGTGGTAATTGAGGGCACAAATGATGACCTGGCTACTTTTGCGAAGAAAACTTCCGGTGTCGTTTGTGATTTCATGAAGATGTTCTGGCGTGCCGTTGTCGCTCGTTGCATACGACTTTTCATCTCCTTGTAGACTGGACAGCCTCTGTAGTTTGCTGTGTGGTTTCCTTGGCAGTTTACACACTTTTTAGTGAGAGAGTCTTCCTTGTTGGCGGGGCAGGGTTCGGAGCCGTGGCAGTTTCCACAAGCTACATAAACTGACCTGAGGGTGCAGTAAGCCCTGGTGTGTCCGTATTCCTGACCATTTGTGCATTGCACTGGCCCGTTCCTTCTACTGTGATCCTACGGTGCAGAAGGTACTGCAACTTGTAGATTGGGTGCACTGCGTTTTTTTCAAAGTTCTGCTGTCTGACTCCAGCTCGACCTTAAAAAGTTGCGGCTTCTTGTTTTTGTTTATAATATTTATAATATTGGGGTCACATCTGTTCAGTTCCCTTGAGCACAACTTTTAAGCCCTTTCAACTTTTCAGCTGGTACGTGTAGTAATTCTTTTTGACATCGTTTAAGTACTTCGACATTGCTCGGAAATCTTCTTCTGTTTTGGTTTAAAGTTTGGTTTCGCTTATATTCCCTTTCATAAGCGGAATAACACGAAAGTTATCTTTTCCGACAAGCTCAACTATTTTGTTGACTAGGACGTTGTAGATCTTCTCCCGAACAAAGATAGGTGGCTTAAGTTTCCTTGGGGCTAGTTCTTCAGACTCTGTTTCAGACTCCGCCAGAATGGAAAATCTATTTTCATTTAATGGACCGAGATTTTCAGGGCCTTTGTTGGTATGGTTTATTTTGGGCATATTGCCTTCCGATTTTTTTGGGAGTGTTAGCTTGCCCTTGGAAATATTAATGTAGCGATCCATGTCTGTCTGCATGGCGGAACCCGCTTGTGGAATTGTCATTTCACCTACCGTAGCTTTGTTTTTGCTGTTTGACCCGATTTTTGCACTTAGTTGTGTTGTTGCTTTACCCGCGATAGAGACCGTTGTGGTTGACGTAGTAGTTACTGTTGTTGTTCAACTAGGTGGCAGAAGCTCGGTTGGAGTTTTGCATTGCTCACTCCATGGCGTTTGAGCGGGAGAGCAAGAACTAGCTCTCTGGTTTTCGGCGGTCAGTAAACTTGCACTTTCTTGCACTTTCGGTTCTAGAGTATTACTCGTGAAAGAGAAATAAGCATTGTTACGGGCCAAGGAGAGACAACGTTTGTCTTGCTCTCTCTGAGCTTTTTCACGAACTTCGTCTTGTTGTTTTTGGCGTTGAGTGCGCTGATCCACGTTCTTACTCATTTGTTTATTGTTAGTGCGTAAAGATTTGTCCGCGCCAAGAAGGGGCCACTGTCGATATTATTCGTTAACAGTCGAGAGCAGCTATGTCCAGATGAATTCTCATCTCGCTCTCGGTCTGTTAACAGTCTCCACTCCCGTTCTCCTAACATTAGATTTAAGTAGAGTTAAACGTTGTGAAAGTTACCTGAAATAAAAGCTTGAAAAAAAAAGAACCCAGCGAGTCGCCATTTTCAACCAACCATTACCACGGGCAGAAATCCGCCAACCCCCCCACCTCTTCATTTTTTGGTTCTTCGGCCGGATCGATCTGCGATTTCCAGCGGCACCGGTGGATTTCCGTCAATTTCAAGAATAATAAAAGATTAGTACGATTTTGCTATTTCCAACCGATCGCCTTTTTGCGACTCCACGGTTTTTTTTCCATTTCCATTTTTATGTACATATTCACATACGTACATTCCAAAACATATTCACATACGTACATTCCAAAATATATTCACATACGTACATTCCGAAACATATTCACCTACATACATTCCCGAAAACATATTCACATACGTAGATAATTAAAATAATAATTTTACATATCTACATTTGTATATTCTTGAAACATATACATATACGAAAACAATATACAATATAGTCCACAACCAGCAAACATTTCCAGCAAACATCCCAGCCGTTTATGTGTGTTAACAAATAAACGCAAAGTGATCATACATATTTCAAATTAATTTATATCTTTATCAAGTATTTGTTTACATAAACAACATTAAACAAGTGTATGTGAGATATAACCAGACATATCAAGAGGGTTACGCATGACACGACGGAGCAGCAAATAAATTTAATAACGAAATACTCCAGCTCCACCTGCGTTTTATTTGTAAACTTATTTTCTTATACATATATACATATCTATCCAAGCTTGAGCGACAAAATCCACTTGGGACAGTGAAAATATTCATCAGGTTTCTTGTTACATTCCATTCATTCCGTCAAAGCTTGAGCAACCAATTCCACTTGGGACAGTGGAAATATTCAACAGGTTTATTGTTACATTCCATTCATTCCGTCACATATAAAACGCCATATATTGGCATATAATAATATAATTGAATTTTATTTATAAACATCTGTGCGCCATTCCATACACAAAATAATAATAAATAACTCAAGCAATAATAAACAACTCAAGTAACCTGAGGGCAAACAAAGCATAATTAAATAATAAATACGATATTATAATATATATATAAATGATACACTTTAAAAATTGTTTTGGGGTTTTCCAACTAATATTGTTTATTAATTTTTCCCTATCGAGTTACTAACTAGTCATTGGCAAATCCCACAGCTGCGTGACTGTTGTGGATATATACAATTTATATTTTTGATATATTTCCTAGCGTGTCTCAGGGTAAATAAGAACCCAAAGCGTTGATATCCAACGCAAAAAGCGACAGCTCCTTAAACGCTCCTGTAGTTGCACAGATAAAAGTCATGCGATCCAGCGTAAAGATGGCCCAACGCGACGCAGTTTTAGACAAATTTATTTCGATCTCTGACCGTCTGAGCACATTTGAAGCCAGAATAAACGTTTCAGGGGCTTCAGATCCTTCGGTCCACACGTGCCAAGTTCGACGGGATCAAATCAAGGCATTATGGGACAGGGTAGAAAACGAGTACGAAGTGTGTTCAGACGCAATTCTTGCGGGGGGCGGGGAGGCGCATGCAATGTTAGAACTTCTCCAAGCCAAATATGAGCACTGCTATGAAGTTTACGAATCCTGTACCGCAAAACTCAGTGAACAAATTGAGCGAGTGAAAACTCAAACGGCCAACGCCAATTCCAACACCCTGCCCATTCCGATTTCGTCCGGTTGCCGACTACCGCCATGCGATACTGAGGTTTTCGAAGGAGACTATTTGAAATGACCAAAATTTAGGGATCTTTTTACCGCAGTTTATGTCAATAATCCTAGGTTGACATCGGTCGAAAAACTTTTCCATCTCAACGCTAAAACTATCGGTGAGGCTAAGGCAATCGTAGACAAATCCCCTCTTACAAATGAGGGTTTCGATTCAGCATGGGAAGCGCTTCGAGACCGTTTCGAAAATAAGAGACTGCTAGTAAATAGCCAACTCAAACTCCTTTTTAATTTGGGTTCCGTAAATCCCGAATCTGGCCAGGCACTGAAAGACCTACAGAGTACAATCCATGGGTGTTTGATAGCGCTGGCTCATTCAAACATTTCCACAGAGAACTGGGACTGTCTCCTGGTAGTCCTGTGCGCCAGTAGATTGCCGAAAATGACCCTTTCCTTATGGGAGCAGTCCCTTTCATCCAAATCAGACATTCCGACCTGGGATGAAATGAACACATTTCTTAGCGAACGATACCGAACACTAGAGGCGATTGGGGATATGAAACCCAGCCAACGCAATCACTCCAACGCTAAGAGTCAACCCGTTCCCAGGAAGCGCAACTCCTTCGAAGCCAAGGTAATTACTAAACCAAAGAATTGCGATCTGTGCTCAAAAGAGAGTCATCCAGTGCGCTTATGCCAGCGTTTTCTCCACATGTCTGTGGATGCGCGAACAATCTACATCAAAAAAAAGCAGCTTTGCCTAAATTGTTTCGCAAGAGGACACCAGCTACGTGACTGTACTAGCACTCACAGCTGTTTCACATGCAGAGGTCGGCATCATACACTGTTGCATAAAGGCAACCCCATTTCCCGTGGGTCAACTTCCGCAATTAGTTCCTCTGCAAGCCCTCAAAATCCAGCGGTGCAAGGGACCGTCAACGGTCTTGAAAATCCGCCCAGTGTGCAGAACTATTTCTCAACTGGTGCTAAAGCGGTTTTGCTAGGCACGGCCATTATTGATATATGCCACTTGGGAACGAACTACAGGGCTCGTGCTCGAATAGACTCGGGTTCTGAAACAACGTTTTTTTTCGGAACGCCTGTTCAATTTGATTAAACTGCCATTCCGTCTTATCAAAGCCTAAGTTTCGGGGCTTAAATCAAACCGTTTCCGCTGAGGCGACCAGGCTCTGCCATTTTTCTATTCGAGCCCCTAATAAGTCAGGCCTTCAGCTAGAAACCACAGCTTACGTTTTGCCCGAACTGGCTGGAATGCTTCCGTCGTACCCAATTTAATGAGATGCGTTGGTTGATTTACCGGCCATCCCCCTGGCAGATCCACCATTTTTAGAGAGTTCACAGATAGATGTTCTAATCGGAGCCGACATCTTACCGTCTGTGTTGCTGAGCAGCACGCGCACCAACATTTGCGGCTCTCTGATAGGACAGGAAACTATCTTCGGCTGGGTGCTTACCGGCCCAGTGTCCAACGCATCAGTTCAAAAGCGGGTAGCAGCTTTCACGACCCAGATAACCGAAACGAGTGAAAAGGTCTTAGAAAAACTTCTCACTAAGTTTTGGGAGGTGGAGAATATACCAACAAAGAGGGTAAAGAAATCCGATTCCTATTGCGAGAGCATTTTTCTCTAAACCACCACTAGAGACGCAAGCGGGAAATACGTTACCGTTTCGCGAACCCGAAAATTTCGGATCCAAATTGGGGCACTCGCGATCCATTGCCCTAGCTCAGCTTCTTAGGAACGAAAACCGTTTGAAAAGAGACTTTCCACTAAATGAGCAATATGACTCAGTCATTCAAGAGTATTTGGATCTGGGTCACATGAGAGAAGTTCCCCCGTCTTACGATACTCGCTTGAACGATATTCTTCATGCTGGTCCAGTCCTACAATCTGATTTAACCATTTAGATCTTGAAGTGGCATTATTTCCAGTACGTGTTCAGTGCAGACATTACAAAAATGTACTGTCAAATCTGGGTCGATCCCAAGCACACGCCGTTCCAAAGAATTTTATTCCGGAATAAAGAAGGACAAGTAAGCGATTTCGAGCTAAAAACCGTCATCTTTAGTGTCAACTGTGCAACGTTTCTGGCACTTCGCGTACTCCAACAATTGGCAGACGACGTAGAATCGGAGTTTCCTAAAGCAAGCAATATTATCCGGCATTTTATGTACGTAGACGAGGTTCTGACAGGGGCCAATTGCATACAAGAGGCTCGACTTGCTATCAGCGAACTTTGCCACGCTTTTAACCTCGCTGGGTTCCCACTGAGAAAGTGGACAGCTAATCAGAATAGCATACTCGAAGATATCCCTAACGAGCAGCTACTCCACGATGACTTTCGCGATATCAATTCCGAAAGCACTACCAAAACACTTGGTGTTCGGTGGAATGCGACCTCGGGCGGGTTCTATTTTGTTCCACCGCTAGTTTCGATTGAATCTACGTATACGAAGAGAGAGGTTCTTTCCCAAATCGCGAAACTTTTTGACCTCGCGGGGTGGTTTATTGTCCGCTCAAAAATCTTTATGCAAGAAATATGGTTGCAAGAGTTGGGCTGGGCTGAAACTATCCCCACAGAAATGAATCAAAGATGGCAAGAGTTTTTGCGCAGTTATTCAGAGCTCAAGCAAATCCGTATTCCTAGGTGGGTTGGTTTCCAGCCAGAGGCGAAGTTCGAGCATCATGGGTTTTGTGATGCGTCGCACAAGGCATATGGGTCCGCAATATACTTGCGGGTTGAAGTAGGACATAATATTATGTCTCATCTGCTTACCGCCAAGACCCGAGTCGCACCTGTTAAAACGGTGTCCCTTCCACGGCTCGAGTTGTGTGGGGCATGGTTGTTGTCAGAAATGATCGCAGCTATCCTTCCGAATATGTCAATTTCCAATTCCGATTTTCTGCTGGACTGATTCCACCATCGTCCTCGCATGGTTGAACAAACCGGCACGCCACTGGGCCACGTTTGTAGCCAACCGAGTGAACAAGATTACTCAGGTGACGAGCGCTGAGCATTGGACGCATGTGCGATCTGAGCAAAATTCCGCGGACCTAGCCAGCCGAGGCGTTTCGCTGCGGTTCAACCAACTAGTGGTACGCCTCATTCGATCGAAGTATTGGATTCCTAAACTCAAGAATCTGGTAAAAGCTGTACTCAACTCCTGTAAGGTGTATAGTGCACACAAGAAGAGATTACAGACGCAATTAATGGGCGATCTTCTGACAGATAGAGTCTCCTTTTCTAGGTCGTTTACATATAGTGGCTATGATTATGCAGGCCCATTTGAAATAAAAAACTATACAGGCAGAGCATGCCTCATTACCAAGGGATATGTTTGCGTGTTTGTGTGCTTCTCCACAAAGGCGATCCATTTAGAGCCTACTTCCGACCTCACAACTGAGAAGTTCCTCGCAGCATTTGCCCGATTCGTAGCGAGAAGAGGTTGTCCTCAGCGGGTTCATTCGGATAATGGAAAAACCTTTGTGGGGGCAGCGACTCTATTTTCTCGTGGTTTTATGCAAGCGATCAAGGAGTCTGTGACTGATGCCTATAGCCATCAGGGACTTTTGTAGCGTTTCATTCCACCCGAAGCTCCACATATGGGAGGACTGTGGGAGGCTGTAGTGAAAAGCTTTAAAACACTTTTCTACAAGTCGACGTCAAGTTGGAAGTACACGTTTACAGAGCTCTCCACCCTTCTTGCCAAAGTTGAAGCGTGCCTTAATTCCAGGCCACTGTCTCCCATGTCCGAAAATCCTTCTGATTTGTTGGCGTTAACGCCAGGCCACTTTCTGATTGGGGGTCCGTTGCTTTCCACAGCTGAGCCCGAAATTAAGGGCGACGCTAAGTCGATTATAAATCGCTGGCAACATTTAAAGGCCCTGCATCAGCAGTTTAGTGCGCGTTGGAAAGAAGAATATTTAAAAGAACTGCACAAGCGCAATAAGTGGCAGAATCCTTCCAAAGATATACAAGTCGATGATATGGTGGTCGTCAAAGAAGACAATATGCCATCAAACGACTGGCGGCTCGGCAGAGTTGTATCTGTCTTTCCAGGGGCCGATAGTAGAGTTCGCGTACTAGAAATCTATACCGCTCGAGGAATTATTAAACGTCCCGTCCATAAACTAGTACTTCTTCCTATGGAGGCCAATGCAACCTCAGTACTTCCAAAATAGTGCCTTCTGTCCTCATGCTTCAAAATTCGTTCACGATTGACTAAATGTACTTATCATTCATCTTTTTTGTGCAGGACCACCACACGTTGCTCCATATGCGCGAGTCTTCCAGTTCGCGACGCCAGTCATTTTCTTCAGTGCGACCTTCGGTAACTTCATCACGACCATCAGATTCCGGCTCACGCTCTCGGGGTCCAACGCCCAGCTTGCGGAATCATTCCCGTCATTCGGACCAGGCCGAAACGCCAACTGCAGCTCCATCTGTGGCGTCTCTGTTGCAGCATCGGAGTGTGCAGATCATCCCGACGGACATCGTGGTACTCGACACAGGAACCAAAAAATACGACACGGGTGCCCTGATCGACCTGTGCTCCCCGGTAAGCACCGGCGATAGATCGCTCGCTGCGGCGTTCCATCTCCCTACGACAAGCGTCGGAGACGAGACGGTCTGTTCGGTGACTATAAGGTCACGGACAGGCACCTTCGAAATCGAGGTGGTGCTTAAGGTCAGCCCCAATTTCTCCACTCGCACTCCAATCCGTGCACTAGCCGACGATGTTCGCGGTCGGTTTAACGATATCCGTCTAGCTGATGAACAGTTTCATCGCCCAGCGACGATATCTCTGGTTTTGGGCTCTGACGTTTATCGTGATGTCATCCAACCCGGTTTCCTAAATCTGAATGAGGGGCTGCCTGTCGCACTAAGCACTGTGTTCGGCTGGATTGTCTCGGGATCATGTAGACAATCTTAAGGCGCCAGACGTGAAAAAATTTTGTTGCTACGTTTATCGTCGCAAGGGGGGGAATGTCCGCACCAAGGAGGGGCCACTGTCGATATTATTCGTTAACAGTCGAGAGCAGTTATGTCCAGATGAATTCTCATCTCGCACTCGGTCTGTTAACAGCCTCCACCCCCGCTCTCCTAACATTAGATTTAAGTAGAGTTAGTTTGTTGTACTTAAGAAGCCATAAAGTGAAGTTTCAACGTTGTGAAAAGTTATGATAAATTGTGAAATAAAAGCTTAAAAAAAAGAACCCAGCGAGTCGCCATTTTCAACCAACCATTACCACGGGCAGAAATCCGGCAACCCCCCCACCTCTTCAGATTAATTAATTAATTAATTAAAAACTTCAGTTTACGATATGCGAATTAGCATCGCGAATCGCAAAACCTCGCGTTTATACATTTTTTCGACGTTTTCGACTGAGTAACTATTTATTTTTCCGGAGTGTATTCTTACGTCCACACTCGACCGGAGCTTGAATAAATTTTGAGTTACACAAATTATCGCAAAAAAATTATCTCGAACCTACTGCACTCACAAGTTTCGCGTTTCTTAATATAAAATAGTATTAAATTTTCAGTCATCAATTCTTGGGAGTGAAAATTTATCAGACAGAAGTTTTTTGTTGATTTGGCGATAGTCAATTACTAGTCGTCATTTCTTTTCGTTTGAACCCTGAATTGTTTTCTTTGGGACAAGTAAATGTGTGCTGTTGTATTCCGATACAGATGGTTCGACTTTATTGTCTTTAATTAATTTTCCTACTTGTTTTTGAATTTCCTTTACTTGACTGTGCGGGCTTCGATTGGTTCATCGTCCTTCAATCTCAATTTTTGCTTGTAAAAATTATTTCGGTTTCTAGACGGAATACGTCAGTATATTTTTCTCATAGTTCAGATAATTGTTCTTTAAATTGAACGGGAAAATTTTTTTGTAGTTCTTCCATAATGTTTTGTTCTCTGTTACTTGAAGTGTTTTGAATTACATTATAATCGGAAATTGGTTCACATTTATAGTTTTTAATACTAATAAATTTATCGTACTGGTTGTGTTAAGTAATCGGACAAATGCATTCTGTTTTGATGTGATGGTATTGAAAATGTATATACCAGGTTGAATCTCCTGATTTGGTATTAATATAGTATCAGTGTCGGACATTATTTCTATTTTTCGTACTACTTGAGATCTGGCTGGTAGAGAATTGTATTATTACTAGAAGTGTATGTTATTGAAACATAAATGTGAATGTCTATATTATTTGGTCTTGCTATAAACCAATCCTCTGTAGGGTTAATATCTATTTGATAGTTTAATTCTCTTATAAAATCGATTTCTATTATTCCGTCACATGGAATCGCAAAATCTTGATTTACTATATGAAAATTATATGCAAATATATATTTGTCTGTTTGGAGTTCTATTGGACAAAGTCCTTTGGATTTAATGATTCCCTCGCCTATTCCTTGAATATGTATTGTATTTTTTGTTTGAATAATTTTAAAGGTATCTGCATTTTCTTTTAATAGCGAAGGGAGGTCTAGCTGAGGCCACCAGGCGGGTCGCAGGTTGCGGATAGCGAACGTCATTCTGGGAAGGTTAGTTGCGAATAAGCGCAAAGGACCCTTCGCTGAAGAAGATGTATCTTGAATTCATTGAGGAATATGTTTCAATGGACCACATGTCCTCCACCAATTACAAAATTCCGAATACTCCGCACTATTCCATTCCGCACCAATGCGGAAGAGGCAGGCTTTGAATTGGCAAAGTGGTTTTCACACTGCCCAGAGTTATCCGCATCTGATAGCCATGTAATGCAACTTAAGGCAGACTCAGACGTAACTAACACCCTTGGCGTGGTTTGGTTACCGGTTAAAGATTACTTCCAATTTCGGTTGGATAACTCTTTCCTGGATCTTTGCGCGACAAAGCGAATTATTTTGTCGGTGACTGCTCGACTTTTCGACCCACTTTGCCTCTTGTGTTCTTTGGTCACAAAGGCAAAGATGATGCTGCAGCAACTGTGCCTTCGAAAATTAGATTGGGACGAGTCGCTACTGATGCAGTTGCTAACATCGTGGGAGAGCGACGCTTCTGCAGCTGCCGAAAATTAAGGTATCGCGATTCGTCAACACAGATCCACAAGTCCCGTTTCAAATACATGGTTTCGCTGACGCGTCCATGAGTGCGTATGAAAGTGTTTGAAAGTGTCTGTATTGACCGCTAAATCGAAAGCAACTCCCCTCAAGACGAAAACTTTGCCTCGCCTTGAGCTGTGTGCAGCTCACCCTTTTAGCAGATCTTTATAATCGTGTCAGGCCATTGCTAAATTGTCCAATTGAGAATCTATTCCTGTGGACAGACTCCGAGATCACTTTACACTGGATCAAAACCCATCCCTCGTCGTTGTCGGTTTTTGTTTCGAACCGGGTTGCAGAAATTCAGGAGTGGTCGGAGAAAGCAATTTGGAGACACGGTCCCACGAAAGTCAACCCAGCAGACATAGTGTTTAGAGGATGTGAAGTAGAGAGGATTACAAGGTTTATTTATTCGGCGACCCTTCGTTCTTGGTCGACTCACAAAATTATTGGCCTGTAAATAGACATTTCGAGCTGCCAGCTGATGAAGTGTCGGTGGAGTTACGCAAATCGGCAATAGCTCTCGTAGTCAGCCTAGAGCCAAATAATTTGTTTCGTGTGGGCTTTTAGGGTGTCGAAGCCTTTTGAAAAATATATTTTGCCAAGAGAACTGGATTTCGCTTTTGAGAAAATTGTCGAAGTTATCCAATTTCACGAATTCAGGGACGACATAAGTAAAATTCGGAAAAATAAACCGGTAGCAACGAATATTCAAAAACTAAACTCTTTCTTCGGGAAAATAAATTAGATTGGTGTTCCTCGACATTGCTACGAGTTGGGGGTCGGTTATTGAATGCTCATTTCCCGTACGAAGCCAAATTCCCGTTGTTGCTGTCTAAAAGCTTTCAGTTCGTCAAATCCTATGTATCATACCTGCACGTTACGAATTGTCACGCTGGCCCACGAGCTCACGTAAGTTGTCTGCGCGAGAAAATATGGCTAGTCAATGCTCAATAAGTCGGCCGACGAACAGTTCGGTCGTGCATGCGTTGCTTTCGCTGCAAACCGCAACTCTTGACCCAAATTATGGGGAACTTGCCAGCAGATAGACTTCGATGCGAGCTTGCGTTCATCAGACTATGGGAGGCAGTTGTGAAGTCTGCAAAGCACCTGTTCCACAAGACCTCTTGACCGCGTGGGAGCTCGGAAATCTCCTAACCAGGGTGGAGCCCGTGCTCAACTCCAGGCCCCTCGGAGCTCTAAGCAGCGACCCGAACGACGGCGAAGTCCTGGTTCCCGGTCATCTGCTCATCGGCGGCCCTCTTTTCGCCCCACCATCAGCGGCGCTTCCGGACCATATCAGCCTGACCTGCTTGCGACGATGGCGAGGTGTGTGGTCTCTCAAACACAGGTTTTGGCAGCTATGGTCCCGGGTCTCCATCCTCCAGCAGCGCTCCAAATGGCACCAGGGGGGAGCCCAACATCGTCGTGGGAGCACTTGTCGTCGTCGCCGAAGACAACCTTCCGCCCCAGCAGTGAAGGATAGGCCGTATGGACGTCAGGACGCAGGATGGGGAGTATCGGCAAGCAGTCCACCGACCGGCTCTGGTGCCCGTTCTGAACTGAAGGACGTTGTCCGTTCAGAGGGGGCGGTGTATGCGCACTTTTATTTAAATTGAAGTGACTAGTTGTAGGGCAAGAGCGGGAGCCAATAAAGCTCTTGCAAATTCGCTCCGTCCCACGTCACCTTAGCATAAATTAGGTTCTAAGAGAAATTATTGGAACATTAAATTCAGTGATTATTTGAACTCCATCGAACTCTTACGCAAGTTATTATCGCAAATAAAACAGCAGAATCCTACTGCAGTCACTTAAATTTCGCGTTTTTTACACCTCTTAACAAAGTTACGAAGTCGTGACGATCTAACCTTCAACATACAAAATATCTGATATCAAATTTTGTGACGAAAAATGCCAGGTATTTTGCCTACACGGTCATTGTTTATCTTAGCGTGGTAAGCATTTGACAATACCTTTTTAACGCCATATAGCTATTGCTTGTATCTTTACTAGTTTATTAGTGACGGCAAAAAGTCGTAAGACAAAACTTTTTGTAACAACCTGCCCAACACAAGAAAATTTATTCCAGGAATCTAAAACAAACACCCAGATATACAAAGAAAAATAATTCGTTGAATAACTTTTGAACGGAGCATTGGATCCGATTGCGTGTCATTCGTCGCTTAATTTAATTAATCTGGGCTAATTAAGTGAAGAATATTACCAAATCGGGCCCAGCTCACCCTTTTAGCAGATCTTTATAATCGTGTCAGGCCATTGCTAAATTGTCCAATTGAGAATATATTCCTGTGGACAGACTCCGAGATCACTTTACACTGGATCAAAACCCATCCCCCGTCGTTGTCGGTTTTTGTTTCGAACCGGGTTGCAGAAATTCAGGAGTGGTCGGAGAAAGCAATTTGGAGACACGGTCCCACGAAAGTCAACCCAGCAGACATAGTGTTTAGAGGATGTGAAGTAGAGAGGATTACAAGGTTTATTTATTCGGCGGCCCTTCGTTCTTGGTCGACTCACAAAATTATTGGCCTGTAAATAGACATTTCGAGCTGCCAGCTGATGAAGTGTCGGTGGAGTTACGCAAAACGGCAATAGCTCTCGTAGTCAGCCTAGAGCCCAAAAATTTGTTTCGTGTGGGCTTTTATTCAAAGGTGCAAAAAGGTGTCGAAGCCTTTTGAAAAATATATTTTGCCAAGAGAACTGGATTTCGCTTTTGAGAAAGTTGTCGAAGTTATCCAATTTCACGAATTCAGGGACGACATAAGTAAAATTCGGAAAAATAAACCGGTAGCAACGAATATTCAAAAACTAAACTCTTTTCTTCGGGAAAATAAATTAGATTGGTGTTCCTCGACATTGCTACGAGTTGGGGGTCGGTTATTGAATGCTCATTTCCCGTACGAAGCCAAATTCCCGTTGTTGCTGTCTAAAAGCTTTCAGTTCGTCAAATCCTATGTATCATACCTGCACGTTACGAATTGTCACGCTGGCCCACGAGCTCACGTAAGTTGTCTGCGCGAGAAAATATGGCTAGTCAATGCTCAAAAAGTCGGCCGACGAACAGTTCGGTCGTGCA